AGACCCTGGCTACTGCAGCATGGTGCTATTTTGAGAGCAGAACCAACAGTGCACTGCATCTAATAGCCCCTGTACATCCACATCCCTGGGGCCCCACAAACATTCTCCTGCATCCACACAGAAGCCTGCAGTATTGTGGTGCCAGCTAGACCCAACTGTGAAGAGACATTGCTGGCATCTGAGCCTGTACAGTGCCCTATACCCCAAGTACCATGTCAGAGAGGCTGCCCTGGGACATAGAGAACAAAGATGTATGCTCCCCAGGACCTGATAGTAGCCTTCCCAAAGCCATTGCCACCAACTTAACCCTCCAGTGCTAAAGCTACCACATACTTGGATGCTCCAACCAGAAGACCAGGGGTCAGCTTGACTACCATGGATATCCTACCAGCCAAGGATACGCTGGCATCATGTGTCCCACCCATGGTCTAGGGACCAAGCCACCTGGCTCACTGCTGACATTACCAGCACCTATGCATGCTACCTGGGGACCTAGGACTGGTCCTACAAGCCCACCACCAAAATTGCCAGCATTTGTGCATCCCACCCAGGCCCCTGAAGACCTACCTGCTATTGACATTGCCCACAAGTCCCACCTGAGAGCCCAAGAAACAGTTTGCCCAGGGTCCAACGCTGCCACCACCAATATCTGCACAGTCACCTGGGGACCTGAGAATTGGTACACTGCCAAGACTGCTAATGCTCACATGACCAACCTAGGGGGCCTGAGGACCAGCCCACCTGGGATGTCAATCCCCAGCAGATACTAACCATAGCTTTCACAAATAATTTCAGCCCAAATCACTAAGAAACTCAGATACTACTAACAAGGTTACAACCAGAGTAATCATATGGAGACCACACTGTAGTGTCTACCCAACCGAAGCCAAAGCTGCCTACCCAGCTGATACTATAGATACATCTGCAGGAAAAGTCTTTCCCTATAGAATAAAATTCATAAAATTGAAATACTAACAGTTATATTAGATGTGCAGACATCAAAACATAAAAATATGAAAAATCAAGGAAACATGACACCTCCAAAAGAACACAATAATTCTCCAGTAATAGACTCCAAAGAAAAAGAAACCTATGAAATGCCTAAAAATTAATTCAAAATAATGATCTTAAGGAAATTCAACAAACTACAAGAGAATACAGATTAAAAAAAAATACAAAGAAATCAGAAAAACAATTCATGATTTGAACGTGAAATTCAAAAGGAGATGCCAAAAAACAGAGAGATACAAAAAGAACCAACCAAATCCTGGAATTTGAAGAATTCAATAAATGAAATAAAAAATACAATAAGAGCATCAACAATAGACTAGATCAAGCAGAAGACAGAAATTCTGACCTTGAAGATATATCTTTTGAAATAATCTAGTCAGCCAAAAAAAAATTAAAAAACTCAAAAGGAATAAAAAGAATGAAGAAAACTTACATGATATATGCATGCCTTCAAATGAACAAATACTTGAATTGGGGGAGTTTCAGAAGGAAAAAAGATGAGAAGAGGTATAGAAAGCCTATTTAATTAAAAAATAATAGTAACTGATAACTTCCTAAATCTTGAAAGAGATTGGTATCCAGATATAGAAAGTTCAATGATTCTCCAATATGTTTAACACATAAATGTCATCTCTAAGGCACACTGTTATCAATCTGCCAAAAAGCTAGGAGGTTGGTATATATTACATGTGCCTTATAAACTCAGCTAATGTCTTCAAAATTGCTCGCTACCACCTTCCCAAATATTTTAGTTGACCCTGTAGTCCAGTATTTAAACATACAAACAGGTGAGAAAATCTGGATTAGAATCCTATTCCATGGGACGCTGCTTCAGGGGTCAGAATGTCATACCCACGCTATCTCTCTACAGGCTACCCACCTTTCCCTGGATATCCTCCTGCAGTCAGGAATCATCTTTTCCCCCTCCAGGCCAGTATCCTTATCCTAGTGGCTTTCTTCCAATGGGAGGAGATGCTTATTCACAAGTGCCAAGTAGTGCCTACCCAGGAGCTGGAGGCTACCCTGCACCTGGAAACCAGTTATCCAACCCCTGGAGGCTATCCTGGTTCCCCACAGCCAGGGGGAGCACCATCCTATCCTGGAGTTCCTCCAGGCCAAGGATTTGGAGTCCCTCCAGGTGGAGCAGGCTTTTCTGGCTATCCACAGCCACCTTCACAGTCTTATGGTGGTGATCCAACACAGGTCCCACTACCTGGTGGCTTTCCTGGAGGACAGTATCCTGGAGAACAAGCTCCTTACCCTAGTCAGCCTGCTGCGATGACTCAGGGCACTCAAGGAACAGTCAGACCAGCTGCTAACTTTGATGCTATGAGAGATGCAGAAATTCTCTGTAAAGCAATGAAGAGTTTTGGGACAGACGAGCAAGCAGTTGTGGATGTTGTGGCCAACCGTTCCAATAATCAGAGGCAAAAAATTACAGCAGCTTTTAAGACCATGTATGGCAAGGATATAATGAAAGATCTCAAATCAGAGTTAAGTGAAAATATGGAAGAATGAATCCTTGCCCTGTTCATGCCGTCTACATATTATGATGCCTGGAGTTTACGGAATGCAATGCAGGGAGCAGGAACTCAGGAACGTGTATTGATTGAGATTTTGTGTAGAAGAACAAATCAGGAAATCCAAGAAATCGTCAGATGTTATCAGTCAGAGTTTGGATGAGACCTTGAAAAAGACATTAGGTCAGATACATCAGGGCATTTTGAACATTTACTTGTATCTATGTGCCAGGGAAACCGTGATGAGAACCAGAGTGTAAACGACCAGATGGCTCAGGAAGATGCTCAGTGTCTATCAAGCTGGTGAAGGAAATCTAGGGACAGATGAATCTTGCTTTAACATGATCCTTGCCACAAGAAGCTTTCCTCAGCTGAAAGCTACCATGGAGGCTTATTCTAGGATGGCTAACCAAGATTTGTTAAGCAGTGTGGGCCGTGAATTTTCCGGATATATTAAAAGTGGTTTGAGGGCCATCTATTGATCTTGTGCAGATAAAACAGATGTTTACTCAGATGTATCAGAAGACGCTGGGCTCAATGATTTCAAGTGACACAAGCAGAGATTACCGAAGGCTTCTTTTGGCCATTGTGGGCCAGTAGGAATGATTTTATTTTTTCTTTCTTTTTTTTTTTTTGTGTGTGTGGGTGCAGCTATTCATAGCTTATCCTTCAAAGCAGTGACGACCTGCATGCAGCAGTATCAACCATCACCTAACCAAAAGAGCTTTTTACTAAGGACTGTGTCAGGGTAATGTGCTTGGTTTGCACATGTTGTTATTGCCTTAATTCTAATGTTTTTTTTCTCTTTATACAATCAGTATAAAGCTATATCACAGTGATGTAGTAATATCACAATGTTTATAAAGCTTCATTCTCACTAATCTTATTCTAATCAGGATATTAAATCGAATACAAGTAACAATAATCTCTAAGAAAAAAAAAATTCCACTCCATGATTACTACTGACATGGTATGAGAAAATTTTCTGAACCCTTTTCTCAGTTTCCTTATCTGCAAAATCAGAATAGTAATAAAAACACCTACATTGTAGGATTGTTGTGACAGTTATATGAGATAATGTATATAAAATGCCAGTCATTTAGTTTTTAATATTTGATAAGTAGCTGTCGTTTTTTAAAAATAGTAAAACATGCCAGCATGTTTAAATGGTGAAAACGAATTCTCACCCTCATAGTATATGCCAGAGAATCTGGGAAATATATAATCTTAGGTTTTTAAACTCTACAATACAGAAAGGTTATATTGCAATGAGTACTGAATGCCAATTCTCCATGTCCAAAATGGCCATTAAGCATGATTCATCTCCATGTAACTCTACCATCTTTTGAATGACCCTGAAAGCACATTTTAAAATGTATTCTGTATATTATAGAACTATGAGGTGATGCTGCAAATACAATTTGTCAGCATTAAGAAAAATAAGACATATTTTTAATGCATCAGTAAATTTTTAACATTCTATCAAAGTAGAGCTAAACTCCCAAACTCTAAACAAACAAAACTATTGTCTTGGACATGAGCAGTTTTATACTCTGGAAGACTGACAATAATAATTAAATTTTGTTCAGAGTTCACTGTATACCAGCACATATTCTAGCATGTGAAATGTATTATCACAAAACTCCAAGAAGTAGGTAACAATATTCAGAATTTACAGAAGAAACAAAAGCATGAGGACTTCAGTAATTTGTACAAATAGTAAGTGTCAGAGCTAGGATTTGACCCCAGGCAAAGAAGTTTGGTTCTAGTATTCTTAAGTACCATTCACAAGTACACAGTAGCATGCTTTCATTCTATCTTAAACTCCAAATATTTAATGTACTTTCAAAATTTATGTAAGTTGGTGTATATTTGAATTATACAATAAAATGTTTAACACTATAATGTATTTTGTATTGCCATTAAATGTTAAAATACATAGTGGGGATACAAAATAAATTTTAAACTATGTTAACTAGTTATATTTAAAAAAAAGAATCTTATATTCCACAAATATCTTTTGGCAACCACAGTGGCTCACTCTGTCTGGGAAGCCTAGGTGTGAGGATCACTTGAGCCTAGGAGTTTTAGACCAGCCAGTGCAACATAACACAACCCCTGTGTCAACCAAAAAAAAAAAAAAGATTAGCTGGGCGTGATCCTAGCTACTCCAGAGGCTGAGGCAGGAGGATCACTTGAGCCCAAGATTACAACAAACTGTGATCATGCCACTGCACTCCAGCTTGGATGACAAAGGGCAACCCTGACTCTAATAAATATCTTTTGAGCTTTTTGTTTAACTACTGATATTATAACTAAATCTTAAAATAATAAGGACTTAGCCATATTCATATGGCTTGGGATATAAAGGAATTTTTGCTCCTCTTCACTTGTTAATCTACACATTTTGATTCCTTTATATTAAGACTTAATTATGATATTTATTCTGCCTTCTTCCTCTTCATACAGACCATGTAAATGGACACTGCACAAGTCCAACTTCTCAAAGTTGCACTTCTGGAAAACGTCTTTCTAGTGCTGATGTTTCAAAAGTAAATCGCTGGGGTCCTGGAAGACCACCATTTCGAAAGGCACAGTCAGCTGCTTGTATGGAAATTTCTTTACCAGTTACAACAGAAGGTAGGTTAACTATATTAATTTTTGTGGGCACAGTTAAAATTTGGTTTACCATAGTAGTGGGAGCTGGGAGACAAGAGTTGGAAATCACGTGCAAAAAATATTTTTAAAACTACTACTAATCATTACTAGATAATAAGTAATTGAGAGCCTGTTGGAACTGTGGACATAACTCCAGCTCAGTTTCTCACAATACTTCCTTTCTCATCTCTAAAACTAAAATACCTCAGCTTATGGGTAGGTTCTCTCTCCTCTGTATGAAAGGAGATCTAGGCTTTAATTAGTTCTTTACTCTTCCAAAAATAATTAAGTGTTAATGTCAATCTTGATAATAAGCTTTTTGGTGTTTCTATTTGTAGAGAGGTATTTAATATCTTACAACCTTAATTTCTTCAACTGTCAAATGAATGTGACCAAGAAAATAGGCAAGATATTACATTTTTACATTTGCAATCATTATCTTAATGACATTTTTAAAAGGATTTCTTATGAAATGAGTAAAGACAGGGAGTGAGTATTAATTTTGAATGGTGATGAACAATGAATAGAGAAATTTGGAGACATATACATTAGGACCATTAGTAATAGAAGCAATCTGTAGGGATTAAAAGTATAATAGCACTCTTAATCATTGTGATGAGATGTGGGAATCTTGACTTTAAATATTCCTACATCTAATTTGTATTGGATTTTAGAATTATTTAACTCTGAATCTCTATTTCCAAATCTGTAAAATATATAATTTCCAAGTTCCCTGTAATCTATAAATTGTATAATAAATGATTATTTTTGTAAATTTGCTGAGAGATGAGAAAAAAAGGAGAAACTTTAGGAATACTATATCTTATTATCTAGAAGAGATACTCTGAGGAACCTATATTTAGTCTTTTGATAAAAAGAGTTATGAGTCATACCCATAAGAGGATAAGGAGAGTTGAAGGCACTGGAATGAAAAGTATGAAGAACTTGTACTCTGGAGTGATTATAAGAAAAGTACAACTTTACTGATATTTAAGATGTGTGAGCTTGTACTTGGAGGATGTACATGTGCAAGTGTTGATAAGAGGATAAACTGAAATTGCCTTGTTTCCTTTAAGTGAGCTAATCCCTCTCAGAAGGATTACCCCTACAACAGGATAGAATCATCTACAGCTCCTTATTTAGCCCTAGGCTAAATTAGGACTGGATTTGGATGTAAAGTAGGCAGCTTGAAACCAAGGAGAGATAACATTTGCACTTTGGCCTCCATAATTGCCCCAGATATAGAATATGTTTGCCACAGAAGATTATGACCCAGATAAGTTCTTTTGTGCCAATAGCTACAATATTGTCAATAACTGGGAATCACCAAAAAATAGTTAGAAATACTTCCAACAAACAATTCAGAGTTAAGAGGCAAACACAATTTAAACAGGATTGGAAAATCTTGTAAACTTTATTATTTAGATGATTTTTTCCAGAAAGATATCTTTAACTAACTCATGAGTTAATGTAGAGAGAGAAAAACATGGAGGCAAGAGACTCAAGTTCTACTGCTGACTCTCCTAAGTTTATGATCTATACTTTTACATTTCAATTTATCCATCTTCAAAATAAGCTGGTAACCTGAGTAAGCTGCATTCCAGGTCAATTAACAAAGAATTAAATTCTACTTCTCCCTCATAATTTTGGCTTTTATGTATTAAATCTGTATGTACTTATTGTAGAAATATGCTAATATTTAATTTTTTTAAAAAAATATCCATAGAAAACCGAGAAAATTCCTACAATCGTTCTAGAAGCTCTAGCATCTCTAGTATTGACAAAGATTCTAAAGAAGCAATTACAGCACTATATTTCATGGACTCCTTTGCACGGAAAAATGACTCTACCATCTCACCTTGTCTGTTTGTTGGAACTAGTCTAGGAATGGTATTAATCATCTCCCTAAACCTACCATCAACAGATGAACAAAGGTTTACAGAGCCGGTAATGGTATTGCCAAGTGGTAAGAGTTTTTATTCATTTATTCCTTTATTGGTATTTCTTCAAATTTAGATGTGGTTTTCTATATCCCAAGAATAGAAATAAACAATCCCTGGAACTAATATAATAGATCTCTCAATATTATACAAAAGTTATTTTTCACTCAATACATTAATTTTTTTTTGATATGGGACAAAAGTTACAAGTATTCTAAGCCATAAGAATGACTGAGAATTTCATAAATCATATAGTATCTCGACATTTATCATATTGTATCTTACCTTCAAGGTAAAAGAGTACAACCATTTCTACTGTTATTAAACTATGGAACTGCCACCCTAAAGAATGCCTTGGAAATTAAGTTTCTGAAAACTGCTAAGGAAAACTTTAATGCAAAAGTTAAATTTATTTTTAAGAAATGGAAGTATTTCTCAAAAGTTTCTTGTCAGATCAGAGCCCATGAATATGTTGGCATCATCCTTGAAGAACTCAGAACACTTAACTTAGAAGCTTAAAAAAAAAAAAAAATTTTTTTTTTTTTTTTTTTGAGACAATATTGCTCTGTTGCCCCAGCTAGAGTGCAGTGGCACCAGCTCTGCAACCTCAAACTCCTGGGCTCAAGTGATCATCCTATTTCAGCCTCCTAAGTAGCTGGGATTACAGGTGCAGGTGATGATGCCTAGATAATTTTTTTTCTATTTTTAGTAGAGACGGACTCTTACTCTTGCTTAGGCTAGTCTAAAAATTCTGAGGTCAAGAAATCCTTATGTCTTGGGCTCCCAGAGTACCAGAATTACAGATGTGAGCTACCACACCTGCCCAGCTTTTGAATGTCTTATAAGCTTCCTATTTTATTTCAAAGGCAAGTCACGCAATGTCTTTCTGTTTTTTCCTAGTACCTAGAGTATTGAACATATGTTATAAGTGTTTGTTGCTAAGTATATGTTATATTTGCTTCCTACTTGAATTATCTATTTTTTTTCCTGTTAAAGAAGTTACGAGCATGATTCCGCCCTTCATTCCTTTGAATGTTTTAAATTTTTTACTTATTACAAATGTCTTCCTTTTTCCTATATATGATAATGAATACTTTCCACATAGTTTTTATATAAAAAATAAAAATAATTTAATTCATATATAGGATAGGGTTTCATTTAAAAGGATAGATATGGTGTGGCAGGATAAAGGTGTGTTTTCTTTGTCAACAGGTGTGCTAAATTCATATAGCTATATTGTAGGTAGAATAATCAGCCTTCTAATATGGCAAATTCAGAGAAATCCACTGTGTTTTAAGATTAATCTGTTAAGATTATTTTATTTTAAATATATTTTCACAATGAGAAAACCTTTTACTGCATTCCTAATTATAAGGAAATGTACAGAATTATTTTATACTAGTTGAGTTGGTTAGAGCCCATTCAGCAGGGTTGTAATGAATTATTAATTAATCCATCATTTAATTCAATAAAAAATTACACATACTGGATATATTTTTTATTAATACAATCATGGGGTACAGTGTGGTGTTTTCACATACAGTTCATCAAACTGCTTAACATAGCCTTTACGTCATTTTCTTAGTTATTGTGTTAAGACTTTTATATTCTACTCTTAGAAAGATTCACTTGTACCCTTGTAAGATAAACCATAGAAGTGATCCCTCCAATCTCCCTCCCTCCACCCATCCCCCCCTCCCATCCACATACTGGATATCTTATATGTGCTAGGCATTCCTCAGAAGTCTAAAGGTAAAAAAAAAAAAAATCTCCTCAAAAGATAGGTGAAAATGCTGAGCTTAATATTTTTTGTTTTTAAACAACAGCTACCTAAAAAGTTTTGTACAATAAGGAATACTAATTTTCTTAATATTCTTTATTAAATTACTGTCATATTCAGCTTCATTGTATGCTGTGTTAACATAAGCCATCATACCATATGTTCTAGAGAATGTTTTTTATTCAATAAAGTTTTAGGAGAGAAAAAAATATCAACCTCCCATGTCACACAAGTTTAAAGCCTTAAGTGCAGGACAATTTCCTCATTAGAAATATTCTAATAAATGTGGTTTTCTGTATCACAAGTGTAGAAATAAAAAAAGTCACTCAAACTAATATAACAGATCTTTCAGTATTATAGGAAAGTTCTTTGCCATTCTTAGCACACAGACTTAGACCAAAAAATGATGGCAAAATACAAAATAAGTATAGCTTTATCTTTTTGACTTTTGGTTTATAAATAATTGCAAACTTTTTCTTATCTACTTAATGAAATGTAATGGGGAAGCTGTCTTCTGTAAGTTTCTTTGTCAGTATTCTCCTGCTGTTTTTTCAGGGCTTTAGTTAATAATAATGTATCCATATCAGTTCATTAATTGTATCAAATGTGCCACATAAATTAATCAAGATGTTAATTGGGGAAATAATATATGGGGTATGTGGGAACTCTCAGTACTATTTGCTCTATTTTCTGTAACCTGAAATTGCTCTAAAAAATAAAGTCTATTTAAAAAAAAAAAAGCAGATTCATATAAAGAAGAAAGCTATGAGGTTTGGTTCATATTTATTCTGTAATTAAGCAAATTTATGGCAGTACAAAGAGCAAAAGGAGAGTAGGGTTTTATAAGAAAAGATAGAGATGATAGAAAGACAGTTCAAAACGAAGTTTAAAGTAGAAAACTTTGCCCCTTCCTCCTTCACAGCTTCCTTAATGAGTCTGTATGACAGTGTCCCAGCCTTCACTCTCTTAGCAGTATCTGGTCTTCATTCCATATCCACTAGTCCCTGCTCAAGCTTATGGGAACCATTATGGGTACTGTTCGTGGTGCTGCTTCACCTTACAGAAATCATTTAAATAGTTTTGGAATTGGAATTTACTCTTCCATGTGAATGAAGTGAGTGACATGCTCTCAGGTCCTGAAGGTATTTTTTGTCCCTGTGAAAGTATTGTTAAACAACCTTTGGAGTTACTGATGAAGAGTAAAAGTCTTAGGGGAGGAAAGGAGGAGGAGGAGGTGGAGAAATAAATCTCAAAATGGACTATTTTCAAGTTTAAGAAAACTGCTTGACTCATGTGCATTTTCCTAGGAATGAGAGGGACTGCACAATACTGATGTTGAAGAACAATTCAATACAGCATGACTGAAAATCTGGAGATAAGGGAGAACATGGCATAGCTGGAGCTTTGAGATAGAATGGTACTAGATTAGGCTGGAAAAGTAAGCAGGGTGGTATCCCTAAACTGAGGGGGAGCTAAGATGGTGGCCTAGTGGCAGCCTCTCCCAACAAATGGGGAGAAACTCAAGCAGGAGCCACCACTTAAGCCATTCAGCTCAGAGACAGCATTCTGAGGACCCAGAGAGATGACAGGAAATGCCAGGAGTGGAGAGGAGAAGCAGGAAAGGAAGTCAACAAGAAAAATAGGTGAAGGTGAGGTAAGAGATTTCACAAAGTTGGTACAATCTCGGTTGCTAGGAGGCCCACACCATTCCCCAGTACCCCTTTCATAGGACCATCCTTTGATGGACCTGAATTCTGTACAAATCAGGCCCCACAAGATAGCAAGCCCAGGGGAAAGGAGCAACAGCAGTGGCTCTACACCAACTGCAGAGTGCACCAAGCTGGTCTTCTTAGGGGCTATTGTCACACTCCCCATGGAGCACAGGCAGGTCCAGGAGCAGCAGTGGGTAAGGAGGGGACTATATGGGAGATATAGCCCCAACCAGGGGGTCACAGGAGGGGTCCCAGGATTATTGCAGCCCTGTGACTATTACATGGGTCAGTCCCACGTGGTGTGGCTTCTCAGGGTCCCTGAAACTCTCCAGTCTGGTCTGCTGCATAGGGGATGCAAACTCCACATGCCAAGCTTAGGCAGCCTACAGCCAAGCTGGTCCTTCCACTTTGTTATACTAAGTGAAGTGGCCCTGCATCTCCTCCCTCCTATCTAGCCCCACCACTACCACCACCACCTCCTTTTGAACTGTAGGTTCCATTCAGAGCACTAATCTTCAGTTCCTGCAACAGTACAGTAGCTGAGGTTCCCTGTATGGAACCAGAAGCCATCACAAAATGTTGGGAGACCCTCCACAGACCTGCAGCACCACCATCCCGGACCTTTAGTGTTGTCCCTGGCCCATGGGCCACTCTAGACCCTCCACTTTCAGAGCAAATCAGAAAACCCAGAACTCAAAAGTTTGTGGTTTGAAATCTCCAGAGAACTGAAGCTCACAGAGTAGCAGCTAACAGCTGCTGTTATTTCTAATCCTAGATCGCCATCTACTGATCTCTTTTTTATTTCTATTTCTTTTCCAAGGCAATAGGATTTTAATAATTACAGTCGATCTTTGTTCCCCTCTTTTCTTTTTATTTCTCTTCTATGGCAAAAAAGATTTTAATAATTATGGTCCACAATTTTTTTCTTTCTTCTCTTGATTTTTCTTTATTTTCTCAACTAAACCTTAGTGTCAATTCAGCCTAATAGACAAGGCAAGAAAGGATAAGGCAGTACTAAACACACACACACATGAGGAAGAACCAGCAAGAAAATTCTGGCAATATGAAAAATAAGAACAGATCAACTGCCTGAAGTAATCACAATGGACCTACCCAGAAAATTCCAACCATAAAGGAATTACTGAAATGACAGAAATGAAAAATAGAATAGAGATAGCAAATCAGATGAATGGAATTGAAGAGAAAGTGAAAAAACAGCAAAATGAAGTCCAATAATTATCCCAAGAAATCAAAAAAATTAAAAACAAAGTCACCAAGGACCTAGACATAATTAGGAAGGATATAATGGAACTAAAAAAATTTGAAAGAGACATTCAAGGAGTTTCAAAACACAGCAGAGAGTTTCAGCAACAGATAAAATTATGGGGTAGAAATAATTTCAGAACTCAAAAATAAGGCTTTTGAGTTAACCTAATCATTCAAAGAGGCAGAGAAGAAGAGAACAAAAGCAGAGTAATAGCTCAGAGATATGGGACTATGCAAAGTGTACAAACATATGAATCAGAGGTATCCC